CACTCCTGGGGGTGGAGGGCAGGCTGTGGAGGGTGTAACCTGCAGGGAGAGAGAAGAGAGGGTGGGGAGGTGGGAATGAAGGAACAGGAGGCACAAATGGGAGACCGAGGACCCTGACACAGCCAAGCACACTGGGCCTCTGCTCACCATTGACATAGAGACTGTCCTGGTCAAGGCTGTAGGGGCCCAGCTGGGTGATGCCGAGGGTCATTTGGCTGAGCTCCCTGTACAGGCGCTCTCTGTCCAGCCCAGGGCCCGTGGGGTTTGGGTGATGGGAGCAGATGGCATCCACTCCTGTGGCAGCTCCTTCCTTCTCAGACCTGTGGATGGGGTTGGGGGCAAATGTAATGGTAATGACAAGTTCTTTCAGGGAGGAGTTGATAGGTTCATAGGAAGCATGGTAGGCAAGGGTCCAAGAGAATGAAATGTTTGAAACTAATGAGAGTATAGGAATCTCTGTGAGTGAGGATGGAGGCCTGGCTCAATTGGTAGACTGCAAGCCAATGAGTGAAAACATCAGATACCTAGTTTAATTTCTGGTCCTGTCCAAAATGTGAGAAGGAAAGGAAGAGAGAAAGATGGAAGGAAAGGAAGAAAGAAAGATGAAAAGAAAGAAAAATGAAGGAAGGAAAAAGAGAAAAAGAAAGAATGAAATAGTAAAAGGAAAGAAGAAAGAAAAAAAGGAAAAGAATTCTCCACATGTAATCACTTTCAGTAAGCCTGGGCCTATGAGCAGCGTGAGTTACTCAAGGGTATTTATTAGTACCAGGGGTCACTGCCTCATGCCTATCATCTCAGCCACTCAGGAGGCTGAATTCTGAGGATGGGACAGGATCATCTAAGAGACTTGAATCTCTAAAGAAACAGTGAAAAAGCACTAAGTAGACACATTGCTCCCTGTTAGAGCTCCAGCCTTGGATGAAATGCTAAATGACAGTTCCTGTGCCCTAAGTTTAAACCCCAGTACTGGCTCAAAATCAACAGAATCCCCAAATACCATAGCAAGAATGAAAACGAAATGAATATGTATTCGATGACATCCTCTGGCATGAGGAGAGAACACATGATAGAGCAAGATAGACAGCTGGAATTGAGGAGGGAAGTAAATGGAAAAAGCACACAAATATTGATCTTGTGGACAGAATTGAACACCTACAGGAAATGCCTTCATTGGGATAGTGAGCAAGTGAGAATTCAAAAGGTATCAGCAAGGTAGAGTGAAGAAGATGCTGGTCTCAGCAGGACTCGAGCACAATTTGGGGTGGGGGAGATGGTAGGATGAACAGACAGCTTGGTGCTGGCTCCAGTGCCTCCTGCAGTCCACCTCTCTGGAGGTCATGTAGAGGGAGGCAGAGAGGAAGATGATAAGAGTAGGGGCCTGGGAGCAATGGGGCAGCCTTGGCTGTGTGTTCTGAGCACTCACCTGAGCAGGTTCAGTCTGCAGCCAGAGAAGAGGGGTCCAACACTGGTGTTGTGGAACAAGGGCCCAAGCTATGGGGGAGAAAATAAGAGCTGAGGCGGAGAGGCAGGGCTTAGCAGTCAAGGTTAGATGGACTGGTCACCAGTGGCTGGAGGAGAGGTGTTTCTGGGCATAGATGACAGGGCTTTAGAAAACTGTGGATGGGACCTTAGCAGTTGGTGGGCCTGGAGTGAGGTTGGTGGTGCCTTAGAGGTGGGAGGAGCTGGTGTGGGATTGGAGAGGAATAAATGTGGGCGGGGTTGGAGTGTGCTGGTCTGTGCCTTAGAGGTGGGAGAGGACGGAGTGTGGTGGGAGGGGCTTTAGCTGAGGGAGGTGCTGCAGTGATGTGGGCGGGGACTTAGAGGTGGGAGGGTCTGGAGAGAAGTGGGTGTGGCCTGAATGAGTAGGCGGGGCCGGAGTGAAGAGGGAGGAGCACTCACCAGGCCTTGCAGAACCCTCTCTGTGGTGTTGAACTTCCCGGACCCTGGTTCCTGCATGTCTTCCTGGTAACGCAGGTTGGTGATGGTGAAGTTGAGGGTGAACGACAGCAGGACTGGGCCTGTGGCTGCAGCAGAGGCGACAAAGGAGAAACCACAGTGAATCAGGCCTGTGATGGACACAGGGGACAGTCAGGGGCTGGGACCCACAGGCCTGGGGACTCCAGTGACCATTTCACTGGGGACCACAGCAATGACTGGAGATAGGTTCGCACTAATACACAAATCACCAAGTGTGGACAGAAGGCCATCTAATACTTCAAGTGAAGGAGCAAGGATCTGGAGTTACAAAGATCAGAAAGGGAAAGTTAACCCTCTAAATTCTCCCTTATTTCCAAGGGTCACTTTGCCTGCTTCGTGTCCCTCATTCACCCAGCCATTTTTAGAGGCCTTTGTGTGTCCACGGGGTACCACAGCTGTCTCCCAGGTGAGACTCCTTGCCATGAGTCTCCAGCCTGTGAGCTGCCCTCTCCTGTCCCTCTGAGGAGGGCTGTGGATAAGTCCTGGGGCTTCTTGCATTCCATAGGAGGGAGAGGGATTTGGGGGGTGACTGGTTACTCACTGCTGGGTGTGGTTACTGCAGCCTGCAGGGTGTAACCTGCAGAAAGAGATTGGGAGAGGGTGAGGAGGACTTGGAAGGTGTAGAGGGAAGAAAGGCAGCCTTGGTTGTGGGGGGATGTGTGGTGTACAGTGCAGGGATGCTCAAAAGACATTGCTCACCATTGACATAGAGACTGTTCTGGTCCAGGCTGTAGGTCCCCAGCTGGGTGACACCAAGGGTCAGCTGGCTGAGCTCCCTGTACAGCCGCTCTCTGTCCAGTCTTAGGCCCGTAGGGTCGGAGTGCTGGGTGCAGATGGCATCCACTCCTGTGGCGGTTCCTTCATTCTTGGGCCTGGGCAGATGTGATTACAATTAAGTTTGCCCATGATTTGTTCAAGATTTGTGTAAGTTGGATAGGAAATGGGCAGAGGGAAAGGGTAGAGAGTGTGAGAAGTCAGGTGGGAGTTGAGACACCAGACTTGGATTGTGGGTGCAGCTGCCTGGGACTTTCAGTGAGTCATAGGTTCAGAACTTGCACTCCATGCAAGGCTCAAACTTGGGTGTTTGTGGTGCAGAAACTGGTGATGGGCTTGTTCAAAAGTGGAGACCAGAGATAAGGAGATTAGATGCTAATGAAAAAGATAAGGTTATGGTTTTCTAAAGAGAAACTCTGGGCACAGAATTTAGGTCTGAAGGAATTGCTGTCTTAATGCAAGTGAGGAAGGAAGCAGAGCACTCTATAAATGAAAATGTATATTGCTTCACTCCCGTTGCGGTGTGTGAGAAGAGAGGTGGAAAGTTGAGGAGACACTGTGATGCTGGACCTAGTGCCTTGTGCATTGCACCCCTGAAAGAAGATATTTTAGAAGGAAGGAATGAAAAGAGCCAAGAACTGTGTGGTGCTTGGGCACACTTGGGGAAGCCCTGCATGGTGGTGAGCTCTCACCTGAGCAGGTCCAGTCTGCAGTCAGAGTAGAGGGGGCCAATAGTGGTTTTCTTGAACATGGATCTGAGCTGTGGAGGAAAGGGAGCTGGGTCAGGGAAGGGCTCAGAAGTATGGGCGGGGCATTAGTGAGTGGGCGTGTTTTCCATCTGTGGGCGGGTCTTTTGTGTATGGAGCTTGGTTGCTTGTGCTGGAATGTTTTGGGGTGTGTATAGCTAGTGTTGGCGTGGCTTCCATCCATGTGCAGGAGTTTTTGCAGTGGGCGTGGCTTTGCTATGTGGGCAGGGTTTCCAATGGGCTGGCTTTAATTAGTGAAGCTTGAGAGAGGTGAGTGGAATAGTATGTGAATGTGGCAGAGGACTGGTGGGCGTGACTTGTCCTAGGGGTGGGGCTGTGCAGTGGGCGGGGTCTCACCAGTCTCTGGAGGATTCTCTCTGTGGTGTTGAACTTTGCAGATCCAGGCTGGCCCAGGTCCTCCTTATACTGCAGGTTTGTGATGGTGAAGTTGAGGGTGAATGGCACCAGGGCAGGGCTTACTGCTGTAACAGGAGAGAGAAAGACATCCAACCTGATCCCAGGATGTCCCCTGCTTTGGGGTAGCTGCTTGCTCTTGGATGGACAGCTTCCTGTGAGAGGTGACCTGAATGGTAACTACAGGACAGGGACTCAACATGAATATGATTAATGTAAAAGTCGGTCATCTGGCAGGAAGCCAAAACTTCTCTGGTCCAGGGAGATAACATTCCTGTGAATTCCTAGTTTTGGCTTCTTTATTTAATAAAAATAATTTCCCTGTGTGTGTGTATTTACTGATTAGAAATTATGTAATGATATCCAGAGGTGGATTCTGTATGTATCATATCCTTTTAAATTTCTTGTTTTATGTGAGTAATTGGTTGGGTTTAATTATTATAATAAATATTGTGATTTGAATCAGTATAAATATTATCGATTGGAAACCAATAATTGTGAAATGCAGATGTTGAGCTGATAGAAGAAGGCTGCAAGTAACAGAGTCCTTCTTCGACAGAACTCAATTTGTAAACAGACCAAAACTGTGAGTATATTCATATATTTCCAATTCATTTCACTTTGTGAGTCTGTGTTATTGTGTAGGATTCTAATGGTTTTAATGTCAACAGGTACATTTTTAGTGCTGCATCTCAAGCTCTTTGGAAACAAACCATGAAGAGCACATGACTGTGACTTATCACTGTGTGATAATTCACCTAGCACAGCAATCTTTAGCGATATTTGTGTCACTTTATACATGTGCATGTAGAAACAAGACATCTACAGCCATTGGGTTCCAATGGTAGACAGACAGGTGTTCCTTGTACTATTTCCTGAATGATCTGGGTTCTTGTTCTTGACAGATTTCAAAGAAAATATGAGTCAGGAAACTGACATACAAAAATATTCTGTCAATTTGAAAATGGCCCAGTGGTTCACAGGTTTTCAGTGAATCAAGCCATTCATAAGATTGTTCTAATTTTTTCTACATGATACACAGCAATAGTCCATGGACCATAAATGAGAGGGAATTCACAAGAACAATGTGGTCTTTCCTGTGGAATGTGTTCATGCAGATTATTTGCTGAGACAAGCTGTGGTCAAGAGCTATTTGGAAATATCCCTTGGAAAAAAGGAAGCTGATCTGTCTGAGTGAGTTTCTGGTCCAGCAAACATCCCAAACATCTCAGCCTGGACTACAGGAATCCGGGTCAGTACTTACAGGGATGGGGAAGGACTTAGGAAGCAAGGGCAGTTGTGGGGTCCAGAAACATGGTGCAGAGGAGGTCAAAATGTGCTGGGTGCTCAGGGAGAAACCAGGACAAAAAGAGCTCTCAGGGACCTGGGCTTCCTGTGAGATCCATGCAGAGCTGATGTTGGGCCCCTCTGGGACAAGCCTCTGAGGCCACCTGTATTGCTGTCTCTTGGGCTCCGAGGTCCCAAATTGCATCAGGGAGAATTCCTACCTGTGGGATGGGAAGCCGAGGTCGACCTGGCTGGAGACACCGTGACCACCATAGAAGCTGGGGAGAAAAAAATGCCAAGTGTCTGGCTGGGGATCCCCAATATCCTGCAGATGCCAGGAAAGGAAGACACATGTCTTTGGTGTTTTAGGTTCACAGTGTCTGCCTCTCCCAGGCTGGAGGTGGATTTCAGCATGGAGGGGCCATGGTGGGGTTTGACTTGGTTCATTGCAGAGGGCTGGGGCTTGGAGGGGAGGTGGGATTTAGGGAGGCCAAGAATACTCACTCCTGGGGGTGGAGGGCAGGCTGTGGAGGGTGTAACCTGCAGGGAGAGAGAAGAGAGGGTGGGGAGGTGGGAATGAAGGAACAGGAGGCACAGGATGGGAGACCAAGGACCCTGACACAGCCAAGCACACTGGGCCTCTGCTCACCATTGACATAGAGACTGTCCTGGTCAAGGCTGTAGGGGCCCAGCTGGGTGATGCCAAGGGTCATTTGGCTGAGCTCCCTGTACAGGCGCTCTCTGTCCAGCCCAGGGCCCGTGGGGTTTGGGTGATGGGAGCAGATGGCATCCACTCTTGTGGCAGCTCCTTTCTTCTCAGACCTGTGGATGAGGGGTAGTGGCAAATGTGATTTTAATCACAGGTTTCTTCAGGGAGGAGTTGATAGATTCATAGGAAGCATGGTAGGAAAGGGTCTAAGGGAATGAAATGTTTGAAACTAATGAGAGTATAGAATTCTCTGTGAGTGAGGATGGAGGCCTGGCCCAATTGGTAGACCACAAGCCAATGAGTGAAAACATCAGATATCTAGTTTGATTTGGAGTCTTGTCCAAAATGTGAGAAGGAAAGGAATAGAGAAAGATGGAAGGAAAGGAAGAAAGAAAGAAGAAAAGAAGAAAGAAAAATGAAGGAAGGAAAGAAAGAGATAAAGAAAGAATGGAAGAGTAAAAGGAATGAAGAAAGAAAAAATGAAAAGAATTCTCCACATGTAATCACTTTCCGAAAGCCTGGGCCTCTGAACACTGTGAGAGGCTCCAGGGTATTTATTAGTACCAGGGGTCACTGGCTCGTGCCTGTCATCTCAGCTACTCAGGCGGCTGAGGTCTGAGGATGGGACAGGATCATCTAGGAATCTCCAACTTCTAAGTAAACAGCACAAAAGTACTAAATCAACCTACTACTCCCTGGTAGAGCTCCAGCCTTGAATGAAAAGCTAAAAGACTGTGCCTGGGCCCTAAGTTCAATCCCCACTACTGGCATAAAACAAACAGAATTCCCAAATACCAAAACAAAAAGAGAAGAATATGCATTCAATGACATCCTCTGGCATGAGGACACAACACATGCTGTAGCAAGATAGGCAGCTGGAATTGAGGAGGGAAGCAAATGGAAAAGGCACACACATTTTGATCTTGGGGAATAGAATTGAACACCTACAGGAAATGCCTTCATTGGGAAAGTGAGAGAGTGAGAATTCAAAAGGGATCAGCAGAATAGAGAGCCAGTGAGGATGCTGGTCTCAGCAGATCTCTAGCACAATTTGGGGTGGGGGAGATGGTAGTATGAACAGACAGCTTGGTGCAGTCCACCTCTCTGGAGGTCATGTAGAGGGAGGCAGAGAGGAAGCTGATAAAAGGGTTGGGGCCTGGGAGCAATGGGGCAGCCTTGGCTGTGTGTTCTGAGCACTCACCTGAGCAGGTCCAGTCTGCAGCCAGAGAAGAGGGGTCCAACACTGGTGTTGTGGAACAAGCGCCCAAGCTATGGGGGAGAAAATAAAAGCTGAGGGGATGGGCGGAGAGGAAGGGTCTGGTGGTTAAGGTTGGGTGGACTGGTCACCAGTGGCTGGAGGAGAGGTGTTTCTGGGCATAGATGACATGAATCTAGAAAGCGGTGGGTGGGACCTTAGCAGTGGGTGGGGCTAGAGTGAGGTGAGTGGTGCCTTAGAGGTGGGAGGAGCTGGTGTGGGATTGAAGAGGAATTACATATGGGATGGTGTGGAGTGCACTGGTCTGTGCCTTAGAGGTGGGAGAGGATGGAGTGTGGTGGGAGGGGCTTTAGCTGAGGGAGGTGCTATGGTGATGTGGGCGGGGACTTAGAGGTGGGAGTGTCTGGGGAGAAGTGGGTGTGGCCTGAAACAGTAGGCGGGGCCAGAGTGAAGAGGGAGGAGCACTCACCAGGCCTTGCAGAACCCTCTCTGTGGTGTTGAATTTCCCGGACCCTGGTTCCTGCATGTCTTCCTTGTAACGCAGGTTGGTGATGGTGAAGTTGAGGGTGAACGACAGCAGGACTGGGCCTGTGGCTGCAGCAGAGGAGAAGAAGGAGAAGCCACACTGAGTCAGGCCTGTGATGGACACAGGGGACAGGCAGGGCCTGTGACCATCTCACTGGAGACCACAATCCTTCCCTCTCTCACAGCTGGTGTAAGGACAGGGCCTGGGGCTTTCTTTCACTGCATGTGGGGGGAGTGGGATTTTGTAGTGATTGGGCACTTACTGCTGGGCGTGGTCACTGCTGCCTGGTGGGTGTAGCCTGTAGAGAGAGATTGCAGGGAGGATGAGGAGGGTTTGGGTGGTGGAGAGGGAAGGGCAGCAGCCTTGGAGGTGGGGGGTGTGAGGGGTGCACAGTGCAGGGTGCTGAGAGGGCTGTGCTCACCATTGACATAGAGACTGTCAGGGTCTAGGGTAAAGGAGCCCAGCTGGGTGACTCTGGTGGTCAGCTGGCTGAGCTCCCTGTACAGCCGCTCTCTCTCCAGCCCAGGGCCTGTGGTGTCAGGACTGTGGCTGCAGATGGCGTCCACTGCTGTGGCGGTGCCTTTCTTCTCAGGTCTGGGGAGGGCAGGGAGAGGAAAGACAATAGGTGGATGGGTGAACGAAAGCTGCCCTTCTTGGGGTAGGTGAGTAGAGATATTGAAAGGAGAAGTATGGTAGACAGGAGGAAAAGCCAGGCTTAACGAATATGTGATAATTTGCACAGGTGTCTTGTGAGTTTGGAACTGTCATGAGCTCAGACATTTGTGCTAAATTCAAGGCTCCAACCTGTCTTGTTAGACTGGTTTTGAGAGCTAAGGGAAAATGAAAAAAAAAACAACCCTACTTTTTAATAAATAAAATCTTCAGTACAGGATTCAAAGCCCAGAGGAAATGCCTTTTAGTTACAAAGTGATGGAAGGAGAGAAAGTATGCACTTTGGACCAGCAGGGCTGGGGCCCAATCCTGAAATGTGGTGCAGGATCTGAGCTCATCCAGGAGAGACATGATAAGATTAGAGGGTGTTTTGGTGTATGCAGTGTTTTCCTGAATTCCACCCCCATAGAACAAAGTGAGGAATGTTGGGAGGAAGTTGATAGATTTGCACTGGCTGGGAGCAAATAGGGAGATCCTGTCTTGCTGTTCTGAGCTCTCACCTGAGCAGGTCCAGTCTGCAGTCAAAATACAGGGGGCCAACACTGGTTTTCTTGAACAAGGGTCTGAGCTGTGGAAGAAGGAGAGAGGCATGAGGAGGAGGGCTAAGGGAGCAGGGACAGGACAGAAATAAGTGGGCAGGGCTGGATCTGTGGAGCTATAGAGTAAGGTGGGCAGAGTATGGCATATGTGGGGGGGCGTGGCCTCCCTCGGAGGGTGGGGGCCACGCAATGTTGGTGGAGCTTTGATGTATGGAGCTAGGGAGAGGTGGGCATAGTTATCTTCTGTGGGCAAGTCATAGTTAGAGTAGGTGCGGCTTTCTGTGATGGGTGTGGCTAAGACCATGAGCAGGCCTTTAACCACTGGGCTATCTCTGAGTGGGCATGTCTACTTTCATGGACGTGGCATAGCTTGAGTGGGCTGGCTTTCTCGGTGGATGTTGCTGTGCACAGTGGGCGGGGCTCTCACCAGTCTCTGCAGGATTCTCTCTGTGACATTGAACTTCTGGGATCCAGGGTGACCCATTTCCTCCTTATACCCCAGGTTGGTGATGGTGAAATTGAGGGTGAATGGCACCAGCATGGGACCGGCTGCTGCGGTGGGGTTGGGAAAAAGACACCATGGGCTTGGTCTTGATGTGAAAACCTGAGTATGTAATCTCTTCTATGTGTATTTAAGGCTCTTCAAGCTGGAGACCCAAAATGTCAGAGCCAAATAGAATGTTCTAAGGATTTGGAAGTCAGCTTCTGGATGTTAGGGCACCCTCACCAAAAAGCAAACTCATCTGACCTTCAATGTGGCTGAAGATCATAGGGACTTCCTTTGTTTCTGAGTTAATGATTGTTTACCCCAACTCATTCGCTGGGATTCACATATTTATGGATTGACAAATGTCCGAAGGAACACATGTATCTCTTTTCATGAGTCAAAGCCTGTTCGAAGTTCTTTATCCAAACTGGACTAATTGGTAGCAAGGAGATATTGTTATGATGCTCATTTTACAGAGGGAAAAGCTTGAGACAATGGAGGTGCTATGGTTTATTTTAGGTCACTCCATTTCTAGATGAAATGCACTGCATTTGAAAAGAAGATATTATATAATAATAATAATAACTATTGTTATTATTATTGTGTGTGTGTGTGAGTGCTAGTATTAGGGCTTGAACTCAGCCCTGGGTAATGTCCCAGAGCTTATTTTGCTTAAGGCAGACTCTTTGCCACTTGAGCCACAACTAAACATTGGCTATTTTGGTGGTTAACTGGATATAGAAGTCTCACTGGCTTCCCTGCTTGGGTTGGCTTTGATCTCTTCAGAGATCAGCCTGCTAAGCAGCTAGGATTGCAGGTATGAATTACCAGCTCCTGTTTTATCATTTATATGTTTCCTCTGTATGTGACAAGTGTGAAAGTGTGTTGTTGTATTAGGTTCTGATAATATGTATGTTTCTGATACTTAAAATCCCATTTTCAAAATAAACCTTGTAATGTTCAGTGTGTGATAATTTTGTGTAGTGTGACAGTTTTTAGGATTTCCTGTATCATTTGTTGGCAGAGAATACTGTGGCTAAGTAACCAACAAGACAAGAAGAACTGGAAAGTTCTGTTGGTAAAAAGAGCCATTGCTGTCTCTGTTATTTTAACATTTTTGTCATTTTAGTCAGTTTTCCTAATGATCAATATTTAAGAGACTCATAGAGATCAAAACATCAAATCATCTGGAATTTCAGAGATGACACTATTGGTTTGTAGATGTTGGATGAACTGAAATGTCAACACACTTCCACTATGTAGAAATGAGTGTGATTCTTGCAGATGGACAGGAGTTGCTGCACTTATGTTCCCAAAGAACAAATTCATAAAATACTAGCAGAGCAAATGGTCTTTTCTGTGCAGTCCATTCAATACAGGATTCCTCAAATAAAAAGCAAACTGATGGCCGATAGTTGGCTGTGTGGATGAGGTATTGATCTTTCTCTGAGTTGCTTTTGGGGACAATGCCATGGAAGAAAACTGTGCTCTGCACAATCTGCTGGTCTGTAATGATAGAAGGGCTGGAGGGATTTTAGAGGTGAACTGGGTGAACTCTAGGGTTCAGAAATAGGCTCAAGAGAATGACACAAAGGAGCCGGGTGATAGGAGAGGATACTGACACCTTAGGTTCCTTAGGACATGACACCCACTTCCCAGATCCTCATGCCTCCTGTGATGCTAGGGACACTGGGAGTATGTTTGGTCAGGAGAAGTCCTACCTGTGGGGCTGAAGGATGGCCCTGGCATTGCAGAAGACATGATGGTCACTAGAGATATAGGGGAGAAAAGACAAAGGTTTCTGGTAGTGATCTCCATTATCTCTGAACACAGGTAGGACAACAAAACAGATCTCTGGTAGTGGGGCCAAGGTTAGGGTATAAATTCCTGATTTGTCTCCAGGCATTGGGAGATTGGCTTTGTGTGAAGGAGATATCGTGGGGATTGAAGTGCTTCACTGCAAAAGGCTGGAGTTTAGAGGGGAAGTAGAATATAGTGAGGCCCAGAATACTCACTGCTGGAGGTGGAGGGCAGGCTGTGGAGGGTGAAACCTGCAGGGAGAGAGGAGGTTCCGAGGTTGAGAGGAGCAAACAGGAAGCACAGGATGGGAGACCATGAACCCTGAAAAAGCCAAGCACACTGGGCCTCTACTCACCATTGACATAGAGACTGTCCTGGTCCAGGCTATAGTGCCCCAGCTGGGAGATGCCAAGGGTCAGCTGGCTGAGCTCCTTGTACAACTGCTCTCTGTCCAGCCCAGGGCCTGTGGGGTCAGGGCGTAGGGTGCAGATGGCGTCTACTCCTGTGGCAGTTCCATCCTGTTTAGACCTGAAGAAGGCAGAGAAGGGGAAAGACAATCCGTGGGTAAGTGACTGGGGGTCCTGAACTTCCTGGTGAAGGAGCTGAAGCACACATGAGAGAATAGAAGGCAAATGGACAGGAAAGAAGTCATGTTTAAATATTTACATGTATTCTGTTTAGCTGCTTGGAATATTTGATCAGTCATGGGTTGATGGGTTCCCTAAATCCAAGACTCTAATCAGCAAGGCCATGGAACAGGGCCTGTGGGGCTCTAAGATGAGACAGGTGAGCACAGCATTGAATGTTCATCTACAATGGAAAGCTATCTTTTTCTGAAGGATTGAGGCAAGAAGAAAATGGTCTTCTATCCAAAGGGAGGGAGGAAGCAGGGGTAGGTTTTGGAGGATAAAGGCAGGGTCCCATCTAATGGTGTGCAGGATCTGAGACACTGGAGTTTGGGAGGTGCTAGGGCACACTGTGGTGCCCGATCCAGTAGTGCCCTGATTTCTGTTCTGGAAGAAGACTTCCACAATGGAGGAAGGATGGCAGTGGACTGATTTGTTTTGTCTAGGATCACTTGGGGATGATCTGTCCTGCTGTTGTGAGCTCTCACCTGAGGTGGTCCAGTCTGCAGTCAGAGTAGAGGGGCCCAACACTGGTTTTCTTGAACAAAGGTCTGAGCTGTGGAGAAAGGACAGAAGGATGAGTTGGAAGGTTGAGTACTTGGATCAAATGTAGTGGGTGTAGCTGGCATAATCAGTGAGATGACTTGTGTGGGTTTGGGTGGGTAGTCTTCTTCCATGGTCTGAGCTAGATCGTGTGGGTGTGGCTTTCCTTGGTGGGCATGGCTATACTGGTGGGCTGGACTTTTAGTCAATTAGGCAGCCTACTGTAAGGGGTGTGGCATCGCTGGAGTAGTCATGGCTGTGTGGACAGGGCAGTGCACAGTGGGTGGGGCTCTCACCAGTCTCTGCAGGATTCTCTCTGTGACATTGAACTTCCCGGATCCAGGGTGACCCATGTTCTCTTCATACTTCAGGTTGGTGATAGTGAAGTTGAGGGTGAATGGCACCACCATGGGAGCTGCTGCTGCAGTAGGGTTGAGAGAAGACACCATGAGCTTGTTCTTGCTCTGAGCCCCTGAGTATGGCTTCTCTTCTATGTGTGCTCAAGATCTGAGGTGGGGATTCTTCTGGAGTTTACAACATCCCTCATGGCGGAGGTCCAAAATGTCAGCACCAACTTGAATATTTTAAGGACCAGGAGGTTTGTTCATAGATGTAAGCTCACTGTCATCAGAAAGCAAACTGAGTTGACCTTCAACAGGGCTGAAAATGATATGGACTTCTGTTTTTGCTCAGGTGTTTTTTATTCCCCCAAGTCCTTCTCTGAGATTCATGAATTATGTGATGGGAAATGCCTGAAGAAACAGCTGTGTCCCGTGTTCATGAGTCAAGGCCTGTTGGAAGATCTCAATCCAAAGTGGATTCATTGGCAGCAAGGCAATATATGTATGATGCTTATGTAATAGAGGCAAAAAAATGAGAAAATGGAACTGACATGGTTTGTCCGAGGTCACAAAATCTCTTAATAGAAAACATTAGATATGATAGTTGGAATATTATAATAGTTTTGTATGTGTGTGTGTGTGTGTGTGTGTGTCTGTATATACACTGGTAGTGGATCTTGAATGCTGGGGTCTAGGAACAGGGTTCAGAGACACATAGGCTGCCTGGTGCTGGGGGAGGATATAAGCAACACTTCTAGGTCTTGGAAAGACACTGTGAGAACCATGAAGAACCCTTCTTGGGCTCCTAGGTATGTACCATGCCCTCCCCCCTCCTTCTGCCTCCTGTGAAGCTGGGGATGCTGGTAGAATGTACAGCCAGAATTCCTACCTGTGGGGCTGGAGGACAGAGTTGGCATCGCAGAAGACACGGTGGTCACTAGAGATGTTGGGGAGAAAGGAACAAGTGTTTGTGGTGGGGACCACTATGGCTTCTGAAATACAGGTGGGACAATGCAGATCCCCAGTGGTGGGGCCAGGGTTAGGG